TTTAGAGGGCGCTAAGCATAGAATTTCAGACGGCGTCACTGAAAGTTGCGAAAAAGCAAGTACTATCAGAGAACGGTTCTCAACTCACTGCATATAGATTAGGTTGGTGCTATATCTGTGCACTCTTACCTCACTCGCGACTACAGGAATAATTGGTGGTTCCAGTTCACGAAGCTCACATTTCTCCCAATCAGTGTCAGCAAGAAATGGATGTTTTTTGATCTCTTCCACACCTTTTCGGCCTAAACGACGTCTTGCTGATTTCTCGAGTAAACGACTGATGAAGTCCGTTGCAAGTTTGTCAAAATTTCGTGGGAATGGCACGCGTTTTGTCAGTATCCTTCTGCAAAGAATGGAAAAAATACGAGTTGCTGTAAAAATTACGACCCGCGACGTGTTTTTTGCAATTAATGCTGAATGTCCATCCCGACAACAGCAGAACTCCCGATGTGGACAGACGCAAAATGATCACAAAGAAGTGTGCCGACCTATTAGTGGCGGACGGAATGCTACGCGTTAGCAATTTCCATTGGAAAAACGAATAAAGAAAGCAGTAGGCTGCTCACCAGGTGATCACCAATGTAGCTTTGTTCGTAGCAACCATGGAAGCAGTCAATCTCAGTAAGTTTACTTAATATTCTCTTTCTGCATCTAGCGTCAAAGTTGAGGCCATGAGCCACGCCAAAAAACCGCTATCAACTAAACTCCGGCTCACCACTGCACTGTGTTATCAGAAAAATACTCACAGAAGGAGGCCCTCGGAAGAAACAGCTGTGCAGCCTAACAAAAAAACATCATTCTAACTTTGCAATATCCTTGCTCGTGTTCGAATGTCCGTCGACTGTGAAAGGAGAACAACCAGTGAGTAGTTCAAAAGCAATGACACCAAGACTCCACCAATCGACTATCTCATCGTAACCTCCTGGCGTCCGTTCCACGACTTCCGGTGCCATGTATTCGATGGTGCCACAGTACGAATTGGCTCTGTGCAGCTAAATTTTTTTCAGTAGATCTGTTTTTCCGTAGCGAAAATTACGCACTGGATGAATTCGAAAATTAGATATACAAATCATTTTTGACGGCGTCGCAGACAGAAAGAGAGTAATGCGTGGCCAGGCAACTGCACCTTTTACAGACAGCAAAGGTTACCAATACCGTTCCAGCAATCCGCGTATAATTCTCATTTCAGTGATGTTACTGCAAAATTCTCACATCATGCTCGATGCAGCTACGCCACGTCCTTCGACTTGGGCTGCACAATCACAAGTTAGTACCCACAGCCTGCTCGATGTATGTGCGCTACCTCCTCGTAAATAGCCGAGTAATCGTGTACTTTCTGAAGCTATCGCTCACCAGTAAGGACGACCATCGACTATGAACAAGGCCAGCAAAATGAGCTGCTCACCAGATATTACTTCCTCAAGTGATCGCAGTGGATACCGTCCACAACACACATCTCACGAAGTGTCTGACACTTCGAGCACCTTCGCTCTACTGTGCTTTCTATCACAGCCAGCGCTTCTCTTCCACCTCACTGCCTTCAGCACAGTCATATTTAAAAGAAACGCATAGGCCCGTTTGGGCAATATCGACGACACTGTGAAGAATGCATCAAGCGGAAGCCTTTTTACATGCAATCTCTCGTTGGAAATTGTGGCGCACATTCAATGCTTGACCAAAACGAAGATAGCCGTCAAATTCGAAGTCAAAAATGCCAAACTAATCGCAGGGCCTACTGGCACTAGCAACCACATTTGTTTCCGATACGCTGATTTCTAATCTCATTTTTCTATGTCGCACGCTAAGCTCCTGCAACATTTCTGCACCTGGCGAGAGCTGTTCGATATCAGAACCATAGAGCAGGCGAAGAGTAATTTAACTGTTCGCCGAATTTGGGGAGCGAAAAAAAAAAAAAAGAACGAAATTGACACATATTGATCGATGCTTGGCGGATTCTCAAGAAACTTTCAGTAACATCTTCCTTCAGCATGAAAAGCAGTCGGCACATGTTGCGACGAAGAAAACATTTACCTCGGCTCATGAAAGAAAGTACTGTATGCGGTAAGTGAAAGCAACGAGTTTGAAGAAACCAATTGGGATGTTTCGGGATATCAACTAGATATTGATGGAGAAGACTTATCGGCAC